GTGGCTCAGTCGGTTGGGCGTCCGACTTCGGCTCAGGTCATGATCTCACAGTTCGTGAGTTCGAGCCCCATGTCGGGCTCTGTGCTGACAGCATAGAGCCTGGGCTACTTTGAATTCTGTGTCTCCCTCTGTCTCTGCTCCTGCCCCGCTCGTGCTCTGTCTCTCTCTCTCCTTCAAATAGAAATAAAAAAACATTAAAATGGAGACGGCAATTTTTGTCTCACAGCAGGATGACTGTGAGGAGTGAATGAGAGAAATCATATCATGTTCCTAGAACCTAGCAAGTGTTTTTTTTTTTTTTTAAAGTTTATTTAGTTATTTTGAGAGAGAGAGAGAGAGAGACAGAATTCCAAGCAGGCTCCGTGCTGTCAGCTCAGAGCCCAGTGTGGGGCTCGAACCCACAACCTGTGAGATCATGACCTGAGCCAAGATCAAGAGCCAGATGCTTAACCAACTGAGCCACCCCGGCCGCCCCCCCCCCCCCCCCCGGAATCCGGCAGGTATTTAATGAATGGTAGCTGTTAGTATTGCCACTGCTTCAGATCACACAGTATGACAGAAACAATGTGGGGTCATGTATTCATACAGTTGTCTCGGGAACAACATGAGTTTGAACTGTGCAGGTCCACTTATGTGCGGATGTTTTTCAGTACATTTATTAGAAACGGTTTGCTGATTTGTGACAATCTGAAAAAAACTCTCAGACAAACCGTGTAACGGTTGATTTGCATTTCCCTGAAGGTAGCTCTGTGAAGAGGTCTTCAAGGTGATTTGGAAGGGGGCTGAGAAATTATACGATTCATTATACTGATGTGGATGCAGATGCAGAGAGACTTTGAATGATTTGAGTAAGGTCACTCATAAACTCGTGGCAGTGGAGGGTATGGGTGAGATGGCACGGCCAAATGGTCAGGAAATGGGCCTTGGAATCAGGTGCACTTAAGTATGAATACCAGTTTCAGCATTTACTAGCTGTGAGACTTGAGGTATTACCTAATCTCTCAGCTTTCTCATCTGTAAAATGGGATACATGATATCTACTGCAGAGGATTACTGTAAGAATTTAATGATGTATGTGAAGTGATTACTTTGTGTATTGAGACTCGTGCACAGAAAGTGCTGAATACATTTTTAACTACCAGTGCTGGAACTGAATTAAAGGCCCCCCGAGTCTTAGTTGAGTGCTTTTTTGATCATTCCATGCTGACCTGACATTCTCTCTATTTAGCAGGCATTCAGATTAGGCAGGCTGTCTTCACTGGAGCTTTTGTACACCCCTCACTCCAGACACCCTTGTTGGTAACATATGAGATCTCTGGATTCAGTGGGGCCTCAAAAAAGCTGCTGACAGTAGCAGAAGCTAGTTTAATCACTACTATACATATCCGGTCTGCATACCAGTCTTCTTCCTGTGATGGACAAAAAGTTTTTTGCTGAGCGAGATGCTAAAATGCTGAAGGGACCGTCTGTCATGTATTTTAAGGGATCTTTAGAAATATGAAAGGCTCCATACTTTCCCTGCCCCTCCTACATCTGTCTGGGGTTGTTTAAGCATGAGTAATTAAATAAAATGAGGACAGCCAGAGATTATCTAGAAACAGACAGGTTTGGCAACTTGCTCATTTCTTGGCAAACACCAGGACTTGTAACTCATTCTCCTCACTATTTGTTTATTTTTAAAATGCATTTTCAGTTAATAACTACCATTTTTACTGAAAAAAAGCAATATATGCACAAAGGAAAGAATTCCAAGAGTGCATACATAATTAAAAATGATCTTTCTCTTACTTCAGCCCCCTTCCTTCCTATCCCTCTCCTGGCTACCACTACTGTTAACAGTTTCTTGTGTATCTTTTCAGGGATATTCTATGTCATATTTCATGTATATATGTAAGCATATATATAAATATTTATTCTTCTCAAAAAATAGCAAACATATTCTATATACTGTTTCATGCTTTGCTTTTTCCCGACATGCTTTGCTCAACCCGACAATTTGGAGATAGTTTCGTATCTATACAGAATACAGAGTGTTTTCTTTTTCTCTCTAATGATTGCATAATAAATAATTCATGGCATATGGCTGGAGCAGAAATGATTTATTTTTATTTATTTTTTATGTCATATAATAGTTAAGTTTTCTTTATGTTTTAATAAGTTATTTAAATTCAACTTAGTTAACATGCAGTGTAGTATTGGTTTCAGGAGAAACCAGTGATTCATCACCTGCATGTAACACCCAGTGCTCATCCCAACAAGTGGCTTCCATAATGCCCATCACCAATTTAACCCATCCCCTCAACCACCTCCCCTCCAGCAACCCTCAGTTTGTTCTCTGTATTTAAGAGGCTCTTATGGTTTACTTCCCTCTCTGTTTTATCTTATTTTAACTTCCCTTCCCCTATGTTCATGTGTTTTGTTTCTTAAATTCCGCATATGAGTGAAATCATATGATACTTGTCCTTCTCTAATACACTTAGCTTAGCATAATACACTCTAGCTCCATCCACATCATTGCAAATGGCAAGACTTCATTCTTTTTGATTGCCAAGTAATATTCCATTGTGTGTATGTGTGTGCATCTTCTTTATCCTTCATCAGTCAATGGACATTTGAGCTCTTTCCATAATTTGGCTATTGTTGAAAGCACTGCTATAAACATCGGGTGCATGTGTGGAGCAGAAATGATTTGGCCTCAACTGCCAGTTTGGTTCTTGCATGCCTTTTTTTTTGTTGTTGATGGCAAACAATTCTTCCAGTCACTTTGCTCCGAACTGTGGAGAGATACCCAAGGTCCTCTATCCCCATATTTAGTAAGTCATGCCAGTTCTACTTTTTTCCATTTATTCTCTTTCATTCTCACTGCTACCTCCCTGGATTAGGCCTTAAAATTCTTATAGAATTCAGCTATCTCCAAATTTTCTTTTATTTTTTAATTTTATTTTTTATTTTTTTGAAATTTACATCCAAATTTGTTAGCATATAGTGCAACAATGATTTCAGGAGTAGATTCCTTAGTGGCCCTTACCCATTTAGCCCATCCCCCCCTCCCACAACCCTTCCAGCAACCCTCTGTTTGTTCTCCATATTTAAGAGTCTTTTCTGTTTTGTCCCCCTCCCTGTTTTTATATTATTTTTGTTTCCCTTCCCTTGTGTTCATCTGTTTTGTTTCTTAAAGTCCTCATATGAGTGAAGTCATATGATTTTTGTCTTTCTCTAGTTTCACTTAGCATAATACCCTCCAGTTCTATCCACGTAGTTGCACATGGCAAGATTTCATTTTTTTTGATTGCAGAGTAATACTCCATTGTATATATGTCCCACATCTTCTTTATCCATTCATCCATCGATGGACATTTGGGCTCTTTCCATATTTTGGCTGTTGTTAATAGTGCTGCTATAAACATTGGGGTGCAAGTATCCCTTTGAAACAGCACACCTGTATCCCTTGGATAAATGTCTAGTAGTGTAATTGCTGGGTTGTAGGGTAGTTCTATTTTTATTTTTTTGAGGAACCTCCATACTGTTTTCCAGAGGGGCTGCACCAGCTTGCATTCCCATTTTTTTAAATTTTATTTTTTATTTTTTAAAATTTATCTTTTTTTAAGTTTATTTGATTTGAGAGAGAGAGAAAGAGAGAGAAAGAGAGAGAAGGGGAGGGGGAGAGAATCCCAAGCAGGCTCTGTGCTGTCAGCTTAGAGCCTAACACCGGGCTGGATCCCACCAGCCATGAGACCATGACCTGAGCCCAAATCAGGAGTCTGGCACTTAACTGACTGAGTCCCCCAGGTGCCCCTCCAAGTTTTGTCTCTGCTTATGTTGCACAATTGCTCTTGATCACATTTCCTAAAGTCCAGGTTCTGATTGTGTCACTCTTCTTTAAGACCTCTGGTGGATTCTCATTCATTGTCTTATGTAAAAACTGGAACAGTGATCAATAAATATGATTTTAAAATTCTAACCTGGGTAATTTATGGAATGCAAATCCCTGGATCAGGATGTTCAGAGGGTTTACACCTTTAGTCTGTATTAAAAAAAAAAAAAAAAAAGTTTACAAGTGTTCCAGATGCAGTTGGTTGTTTGACCAAGTGTAACCATCAGAGTAAGGTACACAATTTCTCAGCCCAGTATTTCTCTTCAGGGTGCATTTGCAACCCCATCTTTTACTACTGCTTCTCTACACGCCAGTGCATATGAAGTTTTTGTTGGCTTTCTGGGCACTCCTAACACCTTCTAGTCACAACTTTTAAACTACCAGACCCAACCTTTCTATGAATCCTTCACAGCCAGAAGTAGCCCTGAACTCGATTTACACGAGTGAGCTTAACTGGCTTACAGCCACATTCTATCTTATCTTAGTTTGGGGATTCTCCAACCCCCCTCCCACCCCCTTTTAAAGCTTGTAAGATCTCTGCCTGCGGAAACCCATTTTGTCTTTTATTAGAGTGTCCAGAGCCTTGTGCACTTTGTAGCAAGGGCCTTAAAGAAGAAGCTGTAGAATCAGTGTCATTTCCTAACTTGATCACCATTGCACATGGGGTATCTTTAACTGTTCCTGGCTTATAGTGGGGCTTTCAACACGTATTTGTGGATTCAAAGAATAAATGAGCGGTGTTCAGGCGATCGTTGCCTGGTGAACTACAAGTCCCAGCGGGCATTGCGTCGGACGTCGGCGGACGCGGTGATGCAAGGGGGCGTGCCGAGCCCGAGGGAGGGGTCGTCCTGCGGGTAGCCGGAGGCCGGGGAGGTTCTGGAACCTAGGGTGAGAGAGGTAACGAAAGGTGAGCGGGGCTGAAGGAGGGGACGCACTGCCTGGCGCCCCCAATCTATGGAGAGGGGTAAGATGGCGGAGGCGGAGAGCCTGGAGACAGCGGCGGAGCACGAGCGGATCCTGCGAGAGATCGAGAGCACCGACACGGCCTGCATCGGGCCCACCCTCAGGTACCCCCCGGGGACCGGGGCCACCGACGGGCGGGTACGGGCTGGACGGGGGCCAGGCTCCTTCGGGGCTGTGTGTTTGGCCGGCCGCCCGCAGGGCCAGCGCCAGCCCCCCGTTTCGGGGATCCCGGCGAGCGACCTCCACCCTGGGCAAGGCGAGTCTCCCTCCACAGCCCGGACATGGGGTCCCTGCTCGACCGCCGACGCCCACAGCCCAGTTACTCCGGAGGCTCCTCTTGCCTTCCTCCAGGCTGGGGCAGCCTTGGTTCTGCCTCCGAGGCCGGCTCCGAGCTGGGCGACTAGAGCGCGCCCGGCAGATGGTGGCTTTTAGCAGATCTTCCCCCTGGGGACATCACCCTTCCTCTCCGACTCAGACCCCATCCTGTCCTAGACATAAGTCCTGCTCTACGGACAAAACAGAAGTTCACTCACAGTCTGATGATGGGAAATTACACTCTTGCCTCCATAAAATCACAACCACTTCTCAGAAATGAGTTTCTGAAAATCTTAGGCCTGGAAGGAAGTTTCCCTCAACCCGCGCCCCTCTCTGGGTAGCGGGTACTTGTTGAACCCTGTTAGTAAGACGACCTTTTCCAAAGGTGCAGCCTCAAGGTAGTCTCATCGCTGAGAAAAAGTTGTCACCCCTTCTGCCCACCCCCCCCATACCATTACTTTGCCCTCTCACCCCCATTCTATTTGTAAATGTCAAAACAAACTCCACCTACCTCAGCTTAGTGTATTTAACAAAACTTAGGTACCACTTACTATGTACAGTGCAAGAAATTGTATTCAGCAATTTACAAGTGAAACTTATTCAAACTGCAGAACAATCCTATTAGGTACTGTTATTATCCTCATTTTACAGATGAGGCACAGAGAGGTTAAGTGACTTGCTCATGGTCACAGAGAAAATAAAGTAGGGGAGTAGTGATTCCTACTCAGGCTCTCTGGATCCAGGGTCTGCATTCTTAACCTTTTTTGTAATGTCTCAATTGGTGATTATCGTATATCTATACTTCCTGTTAATTATTCACCAGATCCAATTTCCAACCACCTTTCCCTTTCCCTCAGTTTACTAGTGCCCTGGAACTTACTCATCTTCATCCTTCCTCTTGTACCTGCTGATCTTCATGCAGTCAGTAGACAGATAATTCTACCCACCTTGCACAGTCTTGGGGCACTACTTCTCCCTTCAAAGCAGTTAGTACTCACTGCTTGTTGTTTTGTTTTGTTTTGTTTTGTTTTGTTTTGTTTTGTTTTGTTTTCATAGGGAGAGTTGTCTCATGAAAGAGTGTTTGAAGGAGGGGCAGGCTGGAGACTCTACTCCTCATCTCCACCTGCACATCTTTCTTCTCCAGGGCACAATGGTAGCCTACTTCTCTCTGCCATCTCTGGTCATGACCATCTTTAGTAGTTTGCCTTTGTCCTTCATTGCATTGGGATCATGACCATCATACTGCTTTCTTTTCCCATTTTCTTGAGCTCTTAAGGGTGAATGATCCTTATTTCATTATCTTTACTTTTATAAAAACTGCAGACTGCTTATCAGTATTCTAAGTGTGTTACTATCGATTATTAATATTTGGTTTTTATAACACAAAATGTTACTGGAGTTATTGAGGATGCTGTTTCAGTATTTAACTAAGATATTTGGCTACTGAGCCAAGCAAAGTTCCCACTGGAGCATCTGGGATTGCTAGAGTTTTAAAGAAGGGTTCTTTATCAGAACACCATTAATATTGTCTTGAGTTGGTTGTGGTTTTCAATTGCTGTCCTTGGTTTATATGATAAGTGACTTTAATTTAGTGTTGTCAGTATAGTTTGTTGTGATTTATTATGTTAATTCTCTACTGAATCATAATGCATATTTGTTCAGCCAAATTTTGGCCTGTAACTTTCTAGTGTATTGATTCAGGATATATGCATTAGGATTAAAATACATTACCTTTTCTCCCTAAAATTCGCTTTATTATTATTACTGAATTATTTTTCCGCTGGTAAGTGGGGTTTTGTGGGGGTAGGTGGATGAAGGGATCTTTTGCCCAAAGGGGACATGGTTTAAAAAAAAAAAAGGGTTTGAGGGGCTCCTGGATGGCTCAGTTGGTTGGGCATCCGACTCCAGCTTAAGTCGTGATCTCGTGGTTGGTGGGTTCGAGCCCCGCATCAGGCTCTGTACTGATGGCTCAGAGCCTAGAGACTGGCTCAGAGTCTGTGTCTCCTTTCTCTGCTCCTCCCCTGCTCACGCTCTTTCTCTCTTTCTCTCAAAAATAAATAAAACATTAAAAAAAAAAAGGGGGGGGTTTGAGAGTTAAGGCACTAGCTTACCAGTTTTAGTTGCTTTTCCGGACTCCCTGGATCATTAGTAGGGGCTCTTCATTTTTGGCCTCATCCTGTCTTTGGCAGATAACCCTAAATCTTACTATCATCCGCAAACATTCAATCACTTGACATTCTGTAAATCAAGTACTAATACCCACTGTCTTTGTCTTTAGTCTACATTGTTCCTGTCCATATTCACAGAGGATGATCTCATTTTTTCCCCTTATCCCATTTACAGGCAGCAGCATGCACAGACTTGATGTTTCAGAGCCCATGCCTTACCCTGGATGCACCTCCATCATTATTACCTCCTCTCCTTTTCCATCGCAGTCATTAAATATATTTAAGGCAGTAGGCTCTCTTCCTGAACTCTACCCTCAACTGTTAATCTCATATGCCTCTTCCCCTCGTTGTAGTCCTTTCTATTTCTTACATCTTTTGAAGTAGTATTTCTAAAGCACCAGATTCTTACCTGTTCCTGAATTAGGTTTTGTAACTGAAGAGGAACTAAGGAACAGACAATAACAGTGAATTGGTAGCAGATATAAGATAATAAGGTATAAGATTATAGCCATCCCTACAGTTCCTGCTCTTCACAAAAATCCATTTAGTTACATTGCCTAACCAGACTCTTTCCTTTGCCAACTATTACTTGTGAATCATGACTTACTTTCTTTCCCTTCTGTGATACCAAATTATTCTTCCAATCTTACTCCTTTTGGTTTGCGAAGCCAGAGTAGCTTGACTTTTTCATTTTATATTTATCCTTATTTTAATCTTGAACAGTGAATGCAATGGTAGTCAATTTCCATATACCATAAGGGAGAGTGCCTCTCCTTTTTCATTGTATTCTGAAAGGCCCAAGCATATCTGCACATATAGAGGCTGTTGCCCAGCAAATTCTTTTGGGAAAGCAGCCATCTCTTTCTTCTCTGTCTTTATCTTAAAAATTATTTCATTAGCTGCAAGTCCTAATTTGCAGATGAGGAAAGAGGCTCATAAGATATTAGGGCCTGTTTTGCTTTTAAAATGATATTGATTCCTGCTCTGTACTGCTAATACTAAAATATTGATCAGAAATCACTCATGAACAGTAGCTCCACATTTTCGTATTTCAAATCCCATCTCTATATTTCTAGTCTTCTTTCATATCACTTCATATAATATCACTTTCATATAACATTCAGAAGTCATTTTCTAATTTTGCTCTTTGGATACCAGCAATTAACATTCAGTCTTTTTTTTTTTTTTTTAAAGTAGGCTTCATGGCCAGCGACCCTGAGATCAAGACTAGAGCTCAGATCAAGTTGATGCTTAACCGACTGAGCCACTCAGGGCCCCAACTTCAGTCTTAACTGCTATTTAAGATTTTGTTTTTAAGCTTTTAAATTTAACAGTGAAATATACTGCCTGTAAAAACACAGCTCTATGGAGATATAATTAATATTCCAAACAGTTCACCCACTTAAAATATACAATTCACTGGTTTTAGTATATTCACAGAACTGTATAAACATTACCACAATTTAGTTTTAGAACATTTTCATCACTTTTTTTCTTTCTTTTTCTTTTCTTTTCTTTCTTTCTTTTTTTTTTTTTTTTGGTGACATAGCAAGTTTTCAGGGCACATCCATGTGGTAGCTTGTATTGGTACTTCATTTCTGTGAATATATAAAATGGATATACCACATTTTATTTATTCAGTTGATTGTCATTTAGGTTTCCTTTGGGGGCTGTTAGAACAATGCTTCTATGAACATAAGCGTACTAATTTTTGTGTGGACATGTGTTTTTATTTCTCTTGGGCATATACCTAGGAGTAGAATTTCTGGGTCATACGATGCCCCATGTTTAACATTTTGAGGAACTGCCAAGCTGTCTTCCAAAATGTCAGCACCATTTTACATTCCCACCAGCAATTCATGAGGGTTCCAGTTTCTCCACATTCTTGTCAGCACTTGTTATGATTTTTTTTTTTTTTTTTATGTTAGGATCCTAGTGGGTTTGAAGCTGCAATTCACTGTAGTTTTGATTTGCATTTCCCTAATGGCTAATCTTTTCATGTGCTTATTAGTCATTTGTTTTTATCTTCTTTGGAGAAAAGTCTATTCAGATCCTTTACTCATACTCAGTTTTTAATTGGTTTGTCTTTCTATTGTGGAATTCTAGGAGTTCGTTTATATTCTAGATATAAATCTCTTACCAGATATATGATTTGCAAATATTTTCTTACATTCTGTGAGTTGTCTTTTCATTTTCTTGATGGTATCATTTGCTGCACAGAAGTTAAATTTTTATGTAGTCCAGGGGCACATGGGTAGCTTAGTTGGTTAAGCATCTGACTCTTGATTTTGGCCCCGGTCATGATCTCACGGTTTGGGGTTTGAGCCCTGCGTCAGACTCCATGCTGATAGTGTGGTGCCTGCTTGGGATTCTTTCTCTTTCCCTCTTTTTCTGCCCCTCTCTCCCTCATGCTGTCTCTCTGAAAATAAATAAATAAGCTTAAAAAATTACTTTGTAGTCCAGTGTATCTATTATTTATTTTTTTTCTTGTGCTTTCCTTCTGGACTGTTGCTTTATATACTTTGTTAGAAATCTATACTATTGGTCTAGGAACAATTTTTTTTTTTTAATCTTGCTTATTTAACTAAGTTGTAAATTCGGTTCTTACAGGAAACAAATTG